TCAAGGGCTTTTTAAAAAATCTATCGAGATGATTGTGTCCTATCTATTAATCTTATATATTACATTAATATTCAGATATTAAATTTAAACTTGGACTAAATTCCTTTATTTTGCTTTGTCCTGTTTTGTTTTGAGACAGGATTTCACTCTGTTGCCCAGGCTGGAGTACAGTGGCACAATCACGACTCATTACAACCTCAAACTCCTGGGCTCGGCTGATCCTTCTGTCTCAGTCTTCCAAGTAGTTAGGACAACAGGCATGTACCACCATGCTCAGCTAATTTTTTCATATTTTGTAGAAATGAGGTTCCACTTTGTTACCCAGGTTGATCTGGAATTCCTAGGTTCAAGCAACCCTCCAGCCTCAACCTCCCCAAGTGCTGAGATGATAGGTATGAGCTCACTCACACTCTCGCTCTTTCTCTTTCTCTTTCTCTTTCTCTGTCTCTCTTCCCACAATCCTATTATTGGTGGTTCTGTTTCTCTAGAGAATCCTAATATAACAGCTTTTTATTTTACTTCTGAGTTTAAACTAAGACTTTTCTAAACTTAACCTGCCTATTTTTTCTTATCAAATTCAAAATGATACCATGCTTAAAAAGAATAATTAAAAATAATTTTCTGGCTGGGCACAGTGGCTCACACCTTTGGGAGGTGGATATGAAAGGATTGCCTAAGCCCACGGGTTTGGGACCAGCCTGGGCAACGTGACGAGACCTCATCTCTACAATAAATCAAAATAATTAGCTGGGCATGGTGGTGTGTGGCTGTAGTTCCAGCTACTTGGAAGGCTGAAGCAGAAGGATCACCTGAGTATTCCAGGTCAAGACTGTGGTGCCCGTGAGCATGCCACTGCACCCCAGCCAGGGCAACAGAGTGAGACTCTGACTCAAAAAGAAAAAAATTTTCTAATTCACAAAATTTTATTAAATAACTCATTGAAAATATTAAATTGATTAATCAATTTATCCTTAATATGATTATCTTTCATATAGTTTTATTTACTTAAAATAGCGCCACATTAAAAGTAAATCTCAGCCAGGCACAGTGGCTCATGCATATAATCCCAGAACTTTGGGCCAGGCATGGTGGCTCATGCCCGTAATCCCAGTACTTTGGGAGTTGGAGGTGAGAGAATTGCCTGAATCCAGGGGTTCGAGACCAGCCTGGGCAACTTGGCAAGTCCTCGTCTTTACAATAAATCAAGAAAAGTTAGCCGGGTGTGGTGGCACACATCTATAGTTCCAGCTACTTGGAAGGCTGAGGCAGAAGGATTGCCTAAGTCCAGCAGATTGAGGCTGCAGTGGCAATGAGCATGCCATTGCACTCCAACCTGGGCAACAAAGACTCCAACTCAAAAAAGAAAAAAAAAAAAAAAACTTTGGGAAGCCACGGTGAAAGGATTGCTCGAGCCCAGGGATTCAAGACCATCCTGGGCAACACAGTGAGAACTTTCTCTACAAAAAAATCAAAAATTTAGCCGCATGTGGTGACATGTGCCTAGAGTCCCAGCTACTTAAGAGGCTTAGGCAGAAGGATCACCTGAGCCCAGGAGGTCAAGGATGTGGTGAGCTGTGATCATGCCATGGCACTCCAGCCTGAGTGCCAGTCCACAGACTGAGACTCCAACTCGAAAAAAAAAAAAAAACAAGCCAACCTCTTCCAAGATGTATAACATTGTGGTAGAGCATTCCTGTAATCCCAGCTACTTGAGAGGAAGAAGAAAAATTAAGGTCAGGAGTTTGAGGCTTCAGTGGGCTGTGATTGTTCTACTGCACTCCAGCCTGGGTAACAGAGTGAGACCCCAACTCAAAAACAAACAAATAAAAAATACACACACACACACACACCAATTTCCTCAGCACCCAGAAAGGAACAGGACCAGTAACATACCTCACAACTCATCAAAGAAGTGATAATACTACATAGTGCAGAGAAGAGAAAAATCAAGTGACTTGAGCTGGAACTAGACAGACTCTCCTCTGGATCATAGCACAGACCATTTACAGCCTCCAGATACAGCAGAGAAGCATCAACCAGCAGGAATGCTCTACCACAATGTTATGCATCTTGGAAGAGGTTGGCCTGGGACTCTCTTCTAATCCCCACTAGGGTAGCCAAGACTGAACAAAGGTGGGGTGCTTCAGCCTCTTCCCTCACCCAGGGCTCAAAACAAAAACCCTTGGGTATTACCCAGAGCCCCACGCTTCATCTAGGTTGGCTGGGCACTTTCTTGGAGTACTAAGTGCCAGTCACTGTGCTAAGCAGTGGAAATACAATGGCAGGCAAGCTGGCATGCCACTGTGGTACAACAGAGAGCTGAATAAATTCAAAACTACTACCCGGGCTCGGTGGCTCAACCTGTAATCCCACGCTTGGGAGGCTGAGGTGAGTGGATTGCTTGAGTTCATGGGTTCGAGACCTGCCTGGGCAACTTGGGGAGACCTCATCTCTACAATAAATCAAAAAAATTTGCCGGGCGTGGTAGCGTGCACCTGTAGTTCCAGCTACTTGGAAGGCTGAGGCGGAAGGATCACCAGAGCTCAGCAGGTCGAGGCTGCGGTGGCCAGGAGCGGCCACTGCACTCCAGTCTGGGTGACAGAGTGAGACTCCACCTCAAAAAAAAAAAATTCAAAACTACTTTTCAAGGAAAGAACCAATCTCATACACATGGCAGGAATGGCCAACCCAATCCAGGAGAAGTAATAAAAGGGTAAAATTATCATACAAGAAACAAGAAGCCATTGAATGGTCTGAAGCAGAGACTAACATGCTCACATTTTGTTTCTCGGAAAGATATCAAAACCATACAAAGACTTAGTAGAGGGGGTTAGATTGTAAAATAAAATAAATAGTAGGAAGTTATTGCAAAAGTCCAAGTGAGAGACAACAGAGCTCTGCAAAAAGAAAGTCAATGAAATTAGAGTAACATGAACTCATTTGAGATGTATGCATTAGAATCAACTGGACTTGTATACTTGCTGGATGCAGAAAGCAGGGGAAGAGAGGAATCAAGGACGACTAGAAAGCTAGCTCACTGAGATGGGGAGCTCCAGAATATCTGAAAGGAGTATAAGTTCACTTTACAAATTTTGAACTTGAGTCCATGCTATACAAGTGCAGACGCCCAGTAGGAAATCAGATATGTGGGTCTGAAGTCTTTATGAGAAATAGGGATTGGGATACATATTTAGAAGCCATGAACACACTAATGGCAAACGAAGCCCTGCGAGTGGATGTGGTCACTTGGGGAGAGTATGAAATGAGAAGAGGGGCTACCTAGACCAGCACCCTAAGTAACACCAATTAAGGAAAAGCAGAGTCCACTGTCTTTAATTTACACTTTAAACTCTTATTTGTGAATGTAATGCTCAAAGAAAAATTCTTAAAATCTGAAAATAATTCCCAAAAATCAAAAAACTACTTTCAAAAAAGACATAAAAGAGGAAGGGACATTAGTATTTACTGTGTGTGCCAGTTATCTTTTTATACGTATTTAACTACTGACCATAACAACCTTTTGAGATAGATGCTGTAGGATAAGGAAATAAAGTTTAACTCCTGCCAAGTCAAAAAGGCTAGACAGCCCAATCAAAGCAAGCTGTAACCCTAGAATTTCAAAGTGATTATTTCTGACCTTAGTTACGTTAGTGCTTGAGAAAACCTACTATTAAACTTAAAAATTATCTCTTGAGGCCAGGTGTGATGGCTCACGTCTGAAATCCTAGCACTTTGGGAGGCCAAGACAAGAAGAAAGCCTGAGGTCAGGAATTCGAGACTAGCCTGGGCAACATGGTAAGATCTTGTCTCTACAATTAAAAAAAAAAAAAATAGCAGTGTGTGGTGGCACATGCCTGTAGTCCCTTACTTGGAAGAATGAGGAGGAAGGATAGTCTGAGGCCAGCAGGTCAAGGCTACAGAGGCATGAGGGTGCCACTACACTCTAGCCTGGGTGACAGAGTGAGACTCCAGCTCAAAAATTTTTTTTTAAAATCTCTTGAAATAATTAAAATTCGGATTCATAAAAATTTAGGGCTGGAAGATAATCCAATTTATTTCACAGCAAAAAGAAATTGAGAGCCTTAGAGATTAAAGCTCTCAAAATAGAATGTTTAATTCACTAAAACTAAATATTAAGTAAACTTGTAACAGAACCCAAATTGAAAGAATTATCCATATATAACACTAAAAGCAGGATATTCACTTTGAACTATTCATCCAGTAGAGAGACAAAGAGTTAACTAACTAGTTAGTCAGTGTCTTGGCCAGCATCCCTTGTATCCACTGGCACACAAAGGCAAAGCAGGTAACAATTTAGGAGTATACCTCTAGTCATGAAAAGTCATCCATATAAGAACAATGATTTAAACCAAATGAACTCATCATATATGACTTTCTTTTTGTGAAAAAGTTTAAGTCATCATCAATAAATCACAGGATGCACATAAAAATATTCATATTCTTCTTTTTTAAAATATATACCCACCAACAAGCCAAAATGTGGTTGAAAAAAATTTCCAAATATTTTCATATCTTACCATAATCACAGAATCAGTCTTGCTACAGTATTAACTTCTTTACAATTCCAATATAATCATCAATAATTAAAATGCTCTCTCACCAGAGAGCATTACATATCCTTTAAGCTTATTTTTTTTATTTTTAAACAAAAACAAGTCCACTATTTTTATTCAACAAATAACAGTTTCTCTCCTCTTTCTTACATACAAATTCATTCAAGTTTTTCAATTTTTAATTACGTTATACATACCTATTGCTACAAGTTCCATAAGTCATAACTAAGGTAGTATTGTATAAAACAAATACAAAGTTCTCAGTATAAGTTATATTTCATATGAAGACCACATTGTCTTTGTAACATTGCAGAAAAGAAAGTTACTAGGATTCCATAGAAATCTTTTTTTTTTTTTTGGCAAACCTATTTCACAACAGCCTGCTAAGGATATCTTAAAATCAGTTTAGCATGTCTAATGACATACCTAAGGAACCCTTGGTCTGTTGACTGTTTGGTGGTATGTTTTCCTTAGCCATAGAGATTAATATTTTACTATTTTCAGACAGCTTCTCTGAGGCTGCTCCCTGAAAAAGACATAATATTTACAAAAGGAAGAGGAAAAAACCCACAAAATACACAATTCATCTCAAAACTTAAATTACACAGCTAGATGAAATTACATGGTACATCAAAGAAGAAACTTAAGGGCAAGGTTTGAGGAATTAACCAAAGATATTTAAATATTATAACAAATATTCTAATATTTAACTCATTCACTTATCAACTAATATTCACTGAGTTCCTATTAAGTACCAGGCATTGGAAATACATGAGTAAAAAAAAGATTTTCTGTCATCATGAAGCTTATAAACTAATTGGAGGGATACACAATAAACATAATATATGATTAGACTATATGATATGTAGACAATGATAGTAAGGAGCTATCAAAAAAAAAATAGAGCAAGGTAAGGAGGCCCAGAAATGCTGGAAGAGAGACCAAGGCCTCACTTGGTTCAAGGTAAACACTTGAACTAGAACTTAAAAATTATTATTTATGTACTAATCAATATTAGAAATTAATCCTAAATCATTATACCTGCACAAATTACTTAACTCCTTTGAGCTTTACTTTCTTGATCTATAAAACAAAAAAATTTTGCCTACTTCACAAGGATATTATGAAATGATATATGTAAAGTCCTTCATACAATTCCTTCTACATGGCCAATTATTATGGAAGAAAGGCAACCTATATGGTGGTCCAGAGAACAAGCACTGGAGACAGGCTGCCAGGGATCAAAGCCTAGTTCCACCAACCCTATCACCTTAGCACCACTACTTAAACTTGCCTCAGTTTACTCATCTAGGTAATTACAATAACAGTACTTATATCATAGACCACTGTGAAAAATAACCTCTTAAGACTATGCCTTGTCCATATTTAGCACTCAATGTTAACTATGGAGCAAAATTACTTTATAATTACAGTGTCCATATCATTTATCATCTCAACCAGGATACCTTTATTTAGCACAAATGCTAAACCAGATAAAACACTGAACGACAGGTAAACCAAGATTGTCTTGGGCAAACCTATATATATGGTTACTCACATTACGATGGACCATATGGCATTAATCTACCTGCTATATCTTACACTGAGTCCTGAGAGAAGGCGCCACAACTATCTAGATTAGTGCTGTATTCTCAGAGTTTAGCACAGTACCTAGCACAATCTCCATATTTGTTAAATGGATAAATCACTTTTGCCAAAACAAGGAAAGCTTTAAAAAAGCTTTTTAGACAATGCGTTCAGAAACAGCCATTTTAAGAAATTTATATTCTGCTGGGCAGGGTGGCTCATGCCTGTAATCCCAGCACTTTGAGAGGCCGAGGCAAGAGGATTGCCTGAGGCCAGGGGTTGGAGACTAGCCTGGGCAACTTGGCGAGAGCTTGTCTCTACAAGAAACCGGAAAAATTAGCTGGGCGTGGTGGCACACACCAGTAGTTCCAGCTACTTGGAAGGCTGAGGTGGAAGGATCACCTGAGTCCAACAGGTCCCACTGCACTCCAGACTCGGCGACAGAGTGAGACTCTGACTCAAAAAAAAAAAAAATCATATTTCTGAAAAGAAAATAGTACAAAATAAACCACCTTAATAAATTCACTTTTGTAGAGTAAAAAAAAAAAATTTTGTTAGCTAATTCAATAAATTGAACTTTTTCACATAGAATACGAGAATTTGCTTTCATAACTGTTCTGTTTATATTCTGGAGTTCTCTGTACTAGAACTAGTATCCTAATCATTTTATAAAACCAATAATTGTTCATTAGAACTCTAACAAGAAAGAGGACAGACACTGTGAGATATAAACCATATAAACCACCATCCCAAAAAACTGCATTCAAAATCACTGAACTCTTGTCTGGAGTCAGGTTCTCAGAATGACAGCACAGCTAAACTTAAGTATGAAACAAAAGATTCTCACTCATAGCAGAGGATGTTTTACATTTTACACAGGAGCAATCTTCAGAGAATCAAAACACACTGAAAAAAGTTATTTTTACCTTTATTTCCATGTAAGGTGGATCACTTTCTAATTCTGCCTTGTCTTTGGCCAGTTTGGCTTTCCGCTCTTCAATAAATTTATCCAAATTATCAGTCATTTTGCAGATTCTTAAAAAAAAAAAAATTCAATAAGCACAACTATATCACAGTATTTTTAGCCTAACTATTAACATGTAGGTCTAGTCCACATTTAATATTCAATTTCATGTATCAAATTGAGAATTTCAAATATAAGCTTGATTGTAAATATGCCTGCCAGCCTCCTATCCCAACTTCCTCGAAAAGCCTACTTACAAAAATAAAAAGAAAGCAAACCACCACCACCATCCATATACACACATACCCTAAAAAACAAAAGCAAACCAAAAATAAACCCTTTAATTCTAAGTCAAAGCACTTTTTCCAAAAACAAGAAAAATTGGGAGTTAATTTCTTACAGAAAAGTTACAAGAATAAGACTAATAACATGAACACCCAGTTTTTATTAATTTCCTATGAAGATTTTATCCCATTTGCTTTACCCTTTTCTTGGGTACACAAGGTCACTATCTCCATATATACAAACACAATTTTTTTTTTTAAGTATGCAGATGGTAAACTACAGATATCAAAGCCCTTTACCCCTCTCTTCAGCGTGTTTTTAAGAATTGGGTATATTTTCTTACATAACATCAATGTGGTTATCAACTTCTGCAATACTGATTTTTTAATCTAATCAATTATCTATGTTCTCGTTTTGTCTATTGACTCAATAGTGGCATTCACAGCATATCTTTCTCTTTCCAATTCAGGATGCCACCTATGTTAGGTACTGAATTTTACTGTTATGTCTCTTTAGCCTTCTTAAATTTATAACATCTCCAGTACCTTCCTTTGTATCCAAAAATATCAATGTCATAAAAGACAACCTATCTACTACCCACCCTTTTCAATAGAGCATCCCACATCTAGGCTGTGCCTAATGTTTCTTCATGACTAAATTCAGATTATACATTCTCAGCAGAAATACTACTTAGAGAACACTGTGTCCTCCTCAAGGTTTCATAAATAAAGGCACATGATATCCACCTGCCCCTCATTTAGTAATATTACTTTTGATCACCTGGTCAGGATGTTGTGTGATTTCTGTACTACCGTTTCCAGGTAACATTAAGCGGTCTATGAGAGTCACTTTTAGACCATGCAAAATATTCTACTCTTGGCGGGGCTTGGCTCAGCCTGTAATCCCAGCACTTTGGGAGGCCAAGGCGAGTGGACTGCCTGAGCCCATGGGTTCGAGAACAGCCTGAGCAACTTGGCGAGACACCCCCTCTCTACAATAAATAAAAAATTAGACAGGCATGGTAGCAGGCACCTGCAGTTCCGGCTACTTGGAAGGTTGAGGCAGAAGGATCACCAGAGCCCAGCAGGTCGACGCTGGGTGCTGGAGTGGTCCCTGCACCCAGCAGGTCGACACTGGGTGCTGGAGTATGCCACTGCACTCCAGCCTGGGTGACAGAGTGAGACTCCAACTCAAAAAAAAAAAAAAAAAATGTTACTCCTGATCAAAACTCCCGTCAAGATTTAGCATTAGCTGGCGATTAGGATTAGGTATACAAATGTTCATTATGCAGGTACCCTTATTGATGAGATGTGCTCCCCCCGCCTCCCTCTCCCCTCCCCTCCTTCCCAGTTTCCCTCAACTGCCAATCCCACACACACCCCCATCCCCTGGCAGTTTTCCACCACTGCCAATCCCTTTCTCATAGTATTATGATCATTGTTCAAGGTCCACTTATGAGTGAGAAAATATGGTACTCTGTTCTTTGTTTCTGTGATATGAACCTTTTTTTAAATTATAGATGGCTACAAAATGCTAATTTCCCAATTCCACTGGTACCTACACATTTATTTACCAGTCGTTATCATTCTACTGTAAAAAAGAACTCTTCCTTCAGCCCCATTTATTTATTGGCTTATCATTCAGAGTGGAATCATGAATTCCTTTTTTTTTTTTTTTCAGTACGTCCTGGAATTGTTTTTAAATGCATAAGCTATTGCTTTAATTGAGAAATAATTTATATACTATAAAATTCACCCATTTTCATGAACAGTTCCACAAATTTTAACAAATTCATAGTTGTTTTCAGGAATCACTAAAAGCACATTTTACAATGCTTTAGAAGTTCTCTTGTGCCCCTTTTACAGTCACTTCCCACCCTCAACTCAGACAACCAGCAATCTCTTTTCTATCTCTGTAGTTTTGCCTAATCCAAAAATTTCATACAATATGTAGTTTTTTGTGTGTCTGGCTTCTTCCACTTAACTAATGTTCCTGAGTCATCTTTGTAGCCGCATCAATCAGTAAGTAGTTTGTTGTTTTCCCACTGCTAAGTAATATGTAGTCCATTGTATGGAAATATCAGATTTTATTTATTTATGTATTTACCTGTTGCTGGACATTTGGGCTGTCTCCATTTTTTGACTATCCATGAATAATGTTACTATGAACAATCATGAACAAGTTTTTGTGAGGATATATGTTTTCAGTTCGCTATGATATATACCTAGGGGTACAACAGCCAGATTCCATGGACTCTGTGTTTAACATTTTGAGGAGCTGGCTGGGCATGGTGGTTTATGCCTGTAATCCCAGCACTTTAGAAGCCCGAGGCGGGAGGATCTCGAGCCCAGGAATTCGAGACCAGCCTGGGCAACACAGTGAGACCTTGTCTCCACATTAAAAAATAAAAAAAAGTATCTTGAGGAACTGCTAAACTGTTTAAACTGTTCCTCAAAGTATAAAGTGCTGAATAATTTTCCATCCCAATGTATGAGATGTTGTATGTCGGTTGCGTACAAGAGTTGAAATTTCTACACTCCTCATCAAGACTTGGTATTTTCTGTCTGTCTCTCTCTCTCTCCAGCCAGGATCTCACTCTGTAGCCCAGGCTAGAGTACAGTAGCATGATCACGGCTCCCTGCAGCCTCAACCTCTTGGGCTCAGGCTCTCTGAGGTTTTAATTTGCATTTCTCTAATGACTATTATGCAGAGCATCTTTTCATGTGTTTATTTGTCATTCACATATTCATACATATAATCATTGCAAAGTATCTATTCAAATCTTCTTGCATTTTAGAAATTAGATTGCTTTTTCTTTTTTTTTTTTTTTTGTTGAGAGACAGGGTCTTACTTTGTCACCAAGGCTGAATTGCAGTGACATGATCACAGCTCTCTGAAACCTGGAACTCCTGGCTCAAGTGATCGTCCAGCCTCAGCCTACTGAGTAGCTAGGACTACAGGCACACATACCACAACTGACTCATTTTTTGAATGGTTCTTTGTAGAAACAAGGTCTTACTATATTATTGCCCAGACTAAACTCAAACTCCTGGCCTCAAGCAATCCTTCTCCCTCTGAAAGGACAGACCAAGCGGGAAGTCATTTTACCTCGTTCCTAAACCCTAACACAAAGATGAGAAAGTAGAAACTATGCCCTGGAGGAATGCATTCTTTTGGTAAAGATTAACTTTGCTGACTTTGTCTTTTCAGAAACCCAGATCCCTCAAACATGACCAATATCTGCCCACTGTAATCTTAAAACAGACCCCTGAAGATGTTAAGACCAGACTCCCCTCTCTTCTTCAGGGTCTGCAAATCATGCACCCCATGCCTGGGAAGTGGGAACCAGACCCTCCCCACCCCCCCACCCTTCCCCAGGGTCTGCAAATCATCCACAAGTGGTCATGATAGTCAAGTCTACTTGATTGCAACAACTCCAGAGCAGAAGATTTAAGTCTGGGGCTTGGGGGGTTGGGGGACACACACATCTCATCTTAAAATGTTGGGCCTCAGTTCCTGACTGTGGGAAGTGATCTTTTCTTAAATAAATCTTTTCTTTCTTCATCTCTTTGTGTTGCAAATCTTTGTTACTCCCAGCACCCCGGCTCTAGCAGTGCTATGCCCCCCTCCAGACCCTCAGTCTCTAACACCTTCAATCTCCCAAAGTGCTATGATTATAAGCATGAGCCACCAAGCCCAGCAGGTTGTTTTATTATTGAATTGTAACATGTTTTATATACATATTTAATACAAGTCTTTTATCAAACATATTTTGCATTTTTCCCAATCTTAATAAACTTTCTTAGTGATGCCTTTTTTAATAGCAAAAGTTTTTAATTTTTATCAAGTCCAATTTATGAATCTGTGTATCAACTTTTAATCAATTTAGTTTGTATTTTTGTGTCATGTCTAAAAAATTTTTGCCTAACCTAAGATCACAATATTTTCTTCTGTTTTCTTTTAGAAGTTTTTTAGTCTTCTCTTACTTTTAAGTTTATGATCCATTTAAAGTTAATTTGTGCAAATTCTGCAAGAGTCAAGATTCATTATTTTTGCATATGAATATAGGTTATTCCAATACCTTTTTTTGAAAAGACTACCCTCCCCTCGTTTAACCTAGAATTTTTTTCAAAATATATCTTCCAAAAACCCATGAAATGTAGTGTCTAAGTGGGTATGTAGCAAAAAAGGAGTCACTTAAAATCAAAGCTTTAAGGCCTGGAAGCTAACTGTGGATGAAATCCTGGGCAGAAATAAGTCAGAACAAGTTGACTGGTTTGGAAAGATTTGGTTTACACATGTTAAGTTGGAACTAGTAAGATGTCCTACTGGAAATTTCCAGCAGGTGGTTAGAAATTCAAGACTTGAGATACCATCTAACTCCAATCAGAATGGTTATCATTGATAACTCAAAAAACAACAGATGCTGGAGAGGATGCTGCTGGGAGCCAGCCTTAGAGGACTTCACGTAGACAGGGTCTGGAAGGCCGAAGACCCCAGGTTGCAGGGCAACTCTGGGCAGCTGTTGTTCCTACTTCTTCTACCTTCACTCTCGATCTCACCACTGGAAACCTGGAAGTTGGAAGAGTTCTATATGGGAGAAATAATTCTTACCAAATGGTAATACTTAGTAAAGGAAGGATTTGTTTTGTTAGAAGTATACTCTTCCATTAAGAGCACCCTTGGCCTTATTTTCCCTTTGTTAAGAAGGCCTGTAATTCTGGTTAGGGATTGTGATTAAGATAAATTGGGGGGAGGCACTTCTACACTGTTGGTAGGAGTGTAA